CATCCATATAATGGGAAACAGGTTTTGAATTTTATATACTTTTACTCCTAATGAGAAAAATATGAAGCTACTAGAGAAGTACACAGTTGGGTTTACCTTGGGCCAGTTTAATTTCCTGTCCCCATTTCTATTCTGAAGGCAGAGAACTAATACATATCCTTCTCTGAAAAAAAAACCCAAACCAAACAGAAAAACAAAAGGAAAGAAAACATACCATTAATTTGCCCAGATTATTGCTTGAAGCTGTAGAAGTCAGTCAGCTAAATATGGCATTTAGGGGCACTTCTGAGAAACAACCTTCTGCAGTTCTGGTTTCCTGTCTGATGTTGAGGAGAGATGGAAGCAAAGCAACCACTACCCATTTCCAAAGACCAAATAGCACGTGTTCATCTCAACTGGTTTCTCTCACAGTCATGACTATATAATGATTTTCACTATTTTTTTTTCTTGGGTTTAATGGTCCTCATTTGATTATATTACATGTTTCTTGACTCACCAGGATGGATAATACCTCTGCAGAGCTTTCACAGTGATTGAACTGTGGCTCCACTCTCTCCATATGTCACCAGCTGTTTCTAGACATTAACTCAGTTGAGCCAGAGCAGCATTGAGGCAGTTCTGTCCCAGACATTCCCACAGGAAGAACCTTTCCAAAGAACAGTCTTTGAATCCTGAAAGTCTTGAATCCAGCACTGAATCACCAGCTAAAGCTAATCTTTGAATGGGAACCATTATTGTACCTCACTGCATGTCCAGGGATGCAAAGCTGAGGACTTCAGCATCCCCTAAGTCCTTCCTAAGGTTCCAACTAGTTGCAGCTCAGGAGCTTTGTGAATGAGATGTGATTTCTATAAATTTACTGAATTCCAGTGGATTTATCTTCCACAAACTTGTTTAGATTCACAGTGAACTCAGGTGAAAATAAAAATGCTGAAATTCAGCTTACAGAAGGACATATCTCACTTAGGATGTCTGCACCAAGGCTTCTGCTTGTCATCTGGCTTCTGTTATAGTCATGGAGAATTACTTATGGCAGTGAATGCAGCCAAGATTGATTCACCTGATCCAGATATATGTGTCTACATATAACTCTCAGATTTTGCCAATGGTGTAATCCATCTGTTTGGTGTGTTTCTGGTGCTTGTTTGTCAAAATAGTGACTCAAAAATGCAGTTTCATGGAACAATTCATGTGAACAAAACAGGAGAAGTCTGGATTGAGCCCTATATGTTGGTGATGAATGTGTGCTTCTGGATTTCATTTTAATCCTTTTGAGGATTTTTGGTTCCTTAAAGCACTGAATGCACTCTTCAAGCCTCACAAATCTGAAGCATGAAAGACTCAGGGTTACAATGCTGTTCTCTGCCCTCTGACATAATATTTTCTGTTGCCTTAATGAGCATCACTTAAAATGCAGAATATGAGAGAATTATTGGACTGAGATGAGGAGAGGGCAGAGATTTCCCAGCAGACAGATCAAGGACAAATGCAGTGTAAGCCCACATATGTTGCCCACATACCTTGTTGGGACTACTGGTAAGCAACCTACCAGTGCAGGGATGGAAGTTGTTGCAGTGTTAGTAGAGGTCACTGGAAAGGGATCTAATGAAGAACCAGAGATATTGTCACCCTATATTCTGGATACTCTCAGTAGCAGAATGCTAAATGTTAAGACCAACAGTTGATTTTTGCCTTTGTTTAATTGACAGCCTCAGGTAGTCAGGTCTCTGTAATGCATAGTACTACTTTCTACTAGATTCAGATTAAGTTTTAGACAGTCCTGAAGCTTCTGGAATCAGGTATTCTGCAAAACTTCAAGCTTTCCTTAAAATAAAATAAAAAAAAAAAAGAATAACATATGGAAAATGCAACAAAAGAATAAGAAACTCACGTTGGTTATGCCCACCCTGGTCTGTCAAGAGCTTAAACCAGCAGATTCAAAAGGTGCAAAATGTTTCATGTTTGATTGTTAGCTGGGTAACACTTGCAAATCCCCTGTGACCAAGGGTCATAGACAATCAGAGAATCTTTTCAGTTGGAAAAGACCTTTAAGTTATAAGTATAAATATATACACAGACATATACATATATATATATATATGTACATTTTAACTTGATATTAGGATGTGGTCCTTCCTACCACTCATGTTATGCTTTAGCTGGGGGGTGGTTGATGTGGTGGAGACTCATGTCCCATGTGTTGCTGTACCATGGACGATCCAAGCTGCTGCTGTAGTGACACGATTACCTCTGAGAAGTTGGCAAATAAACTCCTGTGATACTGCACTTATATACTGCAGCTCCACAGGCCACAGCAAAGCAGAACAGACAAGGTTTGCCTCGGTTTCCCTCATTTTGGACCATGGCCCAGAGTCCTTGCTCTCGCAGTGGAATCTTATATCCCTGGCAGGCTGTGTAACACTACACGCTAGAGGAAAGCCAAAGGTTTCCTATGACATTTCCAGGTTTTCTTTGATTCCACACAGCCCATCAATAAGTGATGATTAGCAGGGAGAGTGACCTCAAATTACGTCAGCTGTAGGATGTGTTTTCCTGGAGGGAAAGGAAGAATATGATTTCCTCCTTTCAAAGATAAGGATTATCACTGATTTTAAAAGCATCATTTCACTCGTACTGTCTTTTTGTTTTTATAGAAGCCCTTCAAAAGAAGGGAAGGACTAATGGTAGGTCAGTATTTAGTTGTCTGAAATGCCAAGGCTTTGTCAGCTATTAACATCAACACATCAGACCTCAGATATGGATTCTCTGAGGTTTTACAGTTGCATTATGATAGAAGAGAATTTAGTTTCTTACCCACTTTTGGGCATCTGCATATCACTCATACACTTGACTTTTAAGTTTATACACTTGTCTTTTAATTTTCACTATTTGACCTTCCAAATGTGAGATAGGATTTTGCACAATCTCTAGTCCAGATTCATAAAATGATACTACTACTTTTGATATTAATGGGATGCATTTGAAGCCTAATTTCCTGTAAGACAAAAATCCCACCATCTCTGCAGTGAAAAAAGTGATTCTTTTTAAAAGGAGATGACAAAAATAATAGGATATTGGTTTAGTGATGTATCAGACGTTTCAGGAATTTCAGGATCACATAATATTCCTTACCTGTTTATTTATATGTATCTATGTCAGACTTGTATTTCTCGCTTTTAAGTCCTATTAATCATGAAGGTTTTATTAATTGATTTCAAATTTTACTGTATGGATGCCAAAGTAACCAAAATTCCCACAATTTCAATCAGAATTCCTTTCATATCAGTGTGTAAACTGCTTGTAGCTCAAAGAATATCGGTCCTGCATATTAAAGAACATGATATAAAAGCATATTATTAATACTTTAGATTGGCAGGTCTTAGATACAAATATATTTTCACTAGTTTTAGTGTAGCTAATCAGATTTATGCTGGCAGAAGACACTTAGTTTCAGTATTTAGGAATTTGATATTATTCTGCTTTGTTACAGACAAGAAACAAGAAAAGTAAATAGTAAAGGTGGAAAGAGTTCAGCTAAACAGCTTTAGGTTTTAAGGTTATTCAAATATTAGTTCTGGGGAAATTAGAGCGTAACAGGACAAAACAGATTTAAAGCAAGATATCCTGTAGTTTCTGGATAGGTCACAATAATATTTATATATGTTTTTGCTATGTGTGACCTAGCAATTTTTCATGCAGAGGCTGTGACAGATGGGATAACCTTCTGATAGCACTATTCCTGAGAATAAGCTTTGCAGAGTTTGCTTCCTACTCTGAGTCACTCATACTCTCAGTTTCTCTGGCTTGAGTCCAAACTCATGTTTCATCCCATCCATGCAATGTAGTTGCTTCTGCTCAACACCAAGTTATTCAGCTCAGACACAGGCTTGTCTCTCTTAACTAAGACACCACTGAATATAGCAATCAGAAGCAGAATTCAAAACTTCTTGTCACGTGGAATGATTTAGATCCATGGTTTCTTGTTGAGCACAAGTTTCTAAAGAGTACTCCTCAAATAACGACAGTATGTCTATTGTAAAATGTGCATTTATGTGAATTACTGTAGTTTCGTTATGTCCTACAGTATTTAAAGTAATAAAAAGACTACATCTGCCTGCTTAAGTTTTTCCAGGGAACCTGCTTTACCTGACTAGGAAATTTAAATACTTTCCCCATTAACCTCTTAGAATTTCTAAGTTGTGGATATTTTTTCTGACTCTGTTTCAGGGATTGAGTTCATGTCTAAGACAACTAAAATTCATCCACATACAAGTGAAGTATCTAAGCTTTTGCTGTAGTCAAACAAGATCTAGTCAATCAAAAATAAAAGACAGAGCTATAGAATTAACTCTCACATGCTCACCTGCACTTCATCAGTTGAATGGATCTCATCTCCCTTGACCATGCTCATTACCTACCCATGTTTGAGACACACTGCCTAAACATTGACATCTAGAGCCATTTTAGATGCTTTTGGTCTTCAGTAGTACTTGTGTCACATCTACCAGTCCTATGTGAACACTATGGATAACTCAAGGTTTTTTTGAATGATATTGGAGTCATATTTTCAGGCAATTGATTCACAGTATGGGTTTCTTAATACTAGTGCAGGAATCTGCCCATGGGGCCAGTGTTTTGCAGGACATTGTCCACATGAAAGTCCTTGTTTTGAAGAGTTCATATTGAAATACAGAACATAAGTAGAGGTGGGAGGAGATTAATGTGACTCATCAATAGTAGAGAGAGGTACTTTCAAGATACTCAGAGCTAGGTACCTTTCTTACTATTTGTCCACTCCTTCTCCTGCTTTGTTTGCTTAGCAATTGTTGCTGAAGGCAAACTGAGCATTATTTTTGTGTTAGCAAAAGCAGTCTGAAATGGTTGAGCAGAATGGTTGTACAGGTCTGCATTTTCCTGTTGAGAAAGCAGAACATGAGGAACTTGGTTGTACTGGTTGAAATCAGGCAGGGATATCAGGTGACATTTTCCTTCTTGTCTCCATGCAGCTTTCAGAGGGAATCAATGCAGGTCAAGGACTAGGTATCGAAATCATTGCTACCTTCCAGCTGGTGTTGTGTGTCCTTGCCACCACAGATCGAAGAAGGAACGATGTCTCAGGATCAGCACCTTTGGCCATTGGTCTCTCCGTTGCCTTGGGACATCTTCTTGCTGTAAGTTTTCCCTCTCACTGTTGACGCAATGTCCCACCTCAGGATGGGCCAGTGAAGGCAAGAAGATGATGAACAGAGGATAGTTTTTTCCTTTTCCTTCCTCTTAAGAGACTGACAATTTTTCTGCAATGTGTGTGGCCCTTCTTTCTTGGGCCATGTGCCTGTGGCTGTAAATCATGAGGTTGCACATCTGGGAGGGGTCACTGCAGTAGGACCTGTTTCCTTGGTGGGATAAGACAGGCACATGGCAAATAGTCTTTCCCCCTTTTTCTGAGAAAGAGTGGGTGGGATAAATGAAGCTGTTGTGAGCATCTGAACCATGCTTCAGGTTGCCACTTGCCCTCCTGTGCAGTGAAGATGCCACATGTAGGTCAATGCCTCACCACTGGTTCTCTTTCCACCTCCTAGATTGACTACACCGGGTGTGGGATTAACCCAGCCAGGTCTTTTGGCTCGGCGCTGATTGCCAACAACTTTGAAAACCATTGGGTAAGTGGAACAAATTGGTTTAGCCTACAAGAGGCTCTGAATATACACAATATACAAGATCAGAAACTTTTAACCACGTATCGTTAGCACCAAGTCAGTTAGTTGCCTTTTCTATTTTATTCCACAACAATCTCCTTTTCCTCCTGACCAGCCTCAGGAGATCACAGAGTCCTCGAGCTGAGTGTGTATGGTCAGAGTGAAACAGCACATTTTCTTTGGTTATTTCCCCTTATTTTTATATATTTCAAATGTTTTAAACTTTTAAGCCTAATTGCACAGAATCTTCTGTTGTTTAAACTGAGTTTGTAAGTGCTACTGCTTAATCTGGTAAAACCTAATTTAGGAAGGTTCTTAAGCAGGTTTATAAACTGAAATGGATCATCCAATGTTTGGAAGCTAATAAAATGTTCAGCTTCTTAAAGTTAAGTGTCTCCTTATGTACTTTCATGGATAAGTGCTCTGGAAACACTATAAATTTCAGATTATTCCCTGTGGTTAAATGTGGTCACGAAAATGTACTTATTTCACTAAAGTTCAATGAAGAAGGCTAATATAAAAGCCCTAAATGAACATCTTTCTTGAATACTTAAAATGTAGCTTCTTCCAACTCTCCTGCTCATGATTTTGGCAGGCAGTTGCATAGGCATTCATGGAAATTTAGTGGTAGTACAATGGGTTGTGAAAATTTTGGATATGGATGTCATTTATCGAGAGAATAAAACACAAAAGGAGCCCTGGGGAAATTTTACCATTATCTCCCACTCAAACACTTCTATTGGGATACTAAGGTCAAGTAACTAAGGTAGTAGCTAGTGTTTTCAGAGTTTTAAAGAAAAACTATTTTCCTTTGTAGAGAGAGAAGGAGGTAGAGGTCATAATTTATATTAAACCATCATTATAATTGAATAAAAGAAAATGTTTTCAGACTCAGGAACTCTTTGACCACACAAATCCCTCAAAACCATCTGTTACTTCAATAAAATCAACCTTTCCACTAAAATACTTTTAATACCTCTCCTTACCTCTCCTCTACCTGCCTTAAATTATTAGACCAGTACTAATTACAGCAATGCCACTAGCTAAATAGTAGCAAATTAAGTACTAAAATACTTTTAATACCTCTTCTTACCTCTCCTCTACCTGCCTTAAATGATTAGACCAGTACTAATTACAGCAACGCCACTAGCTAAATAGTAGCAAATTAAGCCCCTAATTAGGTCCTCACTAAGCATTCCCTTCTAATTCAGCTATCTCTGAGAGTTAGTGGGAGAAGGGAATCTAATGCCCTTGTTGCTTTTAGAAATTGTGCTCCCTTGCCTTATTTATCTGAAGTACCAGGAACGTTTTAGCAGTTATTACCTAATTTTAATTCTCAGACCTTGAAAACTTAGTCACAGTTATTAATCTCTGGGTCTATTGCCAATTCATGGTGAGGAATTCCTGGTTTCTTAGTGTGCAGTGAAGTAAATATTCAGTTAATAGACCATATTTTTAATGTTTTCACTGCGAATTTTGTGGTGAAAACCCTCAAAGGAGATTTTCAGAAGAGCATCAAAAGCAGTAATACCTGGTGTCCTAACTAGACTTGGAACTGTGTTTCAGATCTTCTGGGTTGGCCCAATCATTGGAGGAGCAAGTGCTGCCCTCATTTATGACTTCATCCTGGCTCCCAGAAGCAGCGACCTGACCGACCGCATGAAGGTGTGGACCAGTGGCCAAGTAGAAGAGTATGATCTGGAAGCAGATGACATGAACTCCCGGGTTGAAATGAAGCCAAAATAAAGAAGGACAAAGAAAGGGAAAAAAAAAAATAAAGCACATTGGTTTCTGAAGATTTTCTCAGTGTTATAGACTCTGTAAACCAGCAAGCAGTACTTTGTTTTTCCATTCAATGCAGTTTTCCATCTTTTGCCCCCAACCTTAATAGCATTTTTTACATCTAGGGTTTTCCAATTACAAAGTCTTCAGGCCAAGAAGTCATTAGAGACTTTTGCATGAGTTACATAAATTGGGCTGAAATCTAATCCCTCCCTCAAATACCACCAAATTTCCTGGTGTATTTAGCAAGGATGGTTCTCGAAGCACATCACTCAGTAATAAGTAGTTCAAATGAGCAGTCTGTTTGCTGAAAGAATAGAGACTGAGGACAGAGGACCATCTGTCCCAGTGATGGGGGGCTTATACTGGAAAAAGGATTTATACAAATACGCAAGGATGGTATAATGCCAGCAGTGCATGTGAAAAACTATCTCAAATCATTGCCCAAAGTTGTTTTTTGTTTTTTGTTTTTTTTTAAGGAAAAATGCACAGATAATTACTTGTTATGTAGAATTAAGCACCGTTTTCTAAATTATTGATAATCTCTAAGAAAGAGGGCCAAAAAAGTTAAGCTGGACAACACTCCCCAGAGTCCCAGGATCTGTTCAGATTTTCTAGTGTTTCATTATCCCTGAACCTGCATCTGGACCATTATGAGAGAATATATGACAAAAAAATGCACAGATATATTAAGTCCTGGCATGTAATAACTAGAAGCCAGACTGGAGAGTAGTAATAACAATGGCAACAAGAACAACATGTTTCCAATATATAAACAGGATCTGATTGTTCCTGTGGCTACTCTGCTTTTGTTCATCTTACCTTATTTAACTGTATGTTTTAAAGCAAACCAGGAAAAATAAAGGCCCCTTTCTTCCTGACCCCGTTCTTATAGCCAGTGCTGTGACATTCAGGGACAATGAATAGATATACACACAGTATGTTTTCTAATGAGAGACAAATACATAACTGTGTGCAAGTCCATTTGGGGGGGTCATTGCTTTTTTATATATATATATATA